AGACTTCGCGTGCCGCCATGAGACGACGAAGAATCAATGACGCCAGAAGCCTTGTCACAACAGGCGTCAAGCTAACGCCTCTGTGGTTGCTACATTCACTGCGAGTACCCTTTTTGAAAAGGGGTACCACTATCGATTCACCCCAGTTGTCTGGGACGGTCTCCTTCTCCCAGATAAACCCAAATAGACTAGAGAGGCACTGACTGAGGAATCCACCGCCATCCTTGAAGAGAGCAGGTGGAAGGTCGTCAGGACTAACATCGCGATGACGCTTGAGTAGAGAAATGCATTCGGACACTTCTGAGACTGAAGGCGGCTCCATATTTACGATCCACCTTTCTGTTGAAGGCCGGGTTTCTGGCCATGCTGTGCGGAAGAATACTGGTTGATCAAACTGGGCGATGTGTAGTATACGGTGTCTGTCATTTTCATTGATTCATATCTAAGTACTGGTGATGTACAACCTTGCTTACTGGGCTTTGGCTCATGAGCTTTGTTTCTGTCTTCCATCCACAGAAATTGTCGTGAACACCTACCTTCGGAGAATCACTGTCCCCTGGTGCTTCCATAGCGTGCATACTACAGATGTGAGGCATCCGTGTATAGCTGACGTGATTCTGAACCCTTCAGAACATGGCACTCAACCGACGGATTGCGCCAGTTCACTACCTCGCGCTTCCTTAACGGATCCTGTTCTTACCTATGTAACTTCAAGCACAGCTACACTAGAATTTTGATACTGAATACCAGACTATCAATGTACTTTACCCAGCAGGTGGTGCGTGTTTACAGCTAAGCAAATGAACTTAACTGGAAAGTAGAGCATTTGGTAACGCTCGCTTTTCCAACTGAAATCTGTATCACAAAACTATGATACCCCCTGACAGTAGGTGCAAGAAAAAACAAAAGCGCCCTTCCGGTTGACCGGGACACAATGGACTGGAATGAATAATTTTGAAATCTTATTCTGAAGGGACGTGACCCATAGAAGTCAAGCAAAATAGCGTCAGGCAGAGGCTGCACGGTTAACAGATTCGCGCATAATACATGTCTAAGAATTTTGATTTCGAGGACGCGTGTAATTCTGCAGACTGGAGTGTTCAATCAAGGATGTTTCTGAAGCCCGAGAACATGGCCCGTTCACTAGTTCACACACTTCTCAGCACACACACCGGACCATATTCAAAGGGTTAGGTCGATGTGTGCGCAAATCTAGAGCTGATAATGGCTTGGAATTTCGGAGTCCGTATAACCCGTACAGATGCTCTGTTTGTGGTGTTGCCCGAAACAACTTCGGCAGGAGTTACACTGAAAGCCGCGAATATGAGGTTGCAGTACCAGGAGGAAAAGTTTAACTTAAGAAACCACCATCAGCCCATTTGACTAACTTTTGTACCAGTAAACGAGAACTTACCGGCTGACTGTGAATTCAGGGGGTCGCTCCAAAGAGCGGCCGTCGAATTAGGCTGCATTTTCAACTCCCTAAGGCGCTAGGCTGCGCAGTGTTTACACGAGATAATTTAAAAAGCACG